AACATATGCAAATAAGAAGGTAAAAGGTTTTCTGGGAAGAGCAGAATTTGTGAACTAATAACCAAGTGTGTGTAACATTCTCAGCTGCAACTTGAAGCAAATTTCTAAGATAAATTAAACAAGATGCCATCAGGCTAAAGTATTCTGATTTGTGTAGGATAAGCCTTTGTTTTATACAACATGAAAGACAGTTAAACAGTGGCCCTTAAACAGTAAACTGAAAATGTGATAACAATCCTATTGATGGGCAGATCTCCTTGCTTTTATAACTGATTTCTCTAGACCTTAAAACTAAAGATATTGAACATTTGACCCAACACGCAGGCACGAGACACCCATTTTTAGCATCACCAATGCAAATTCTCCAGATGAGCATGCGGTCAAGGAGAAGAGGGGCAAGCCTGGAGGGGGAAGGGCGAGGGACAGTAGGGTTGTATGAGCTATAATACATGAATAAAACAACTATTGAGAAGAAAAAAGTTACAGAAGCAATAAGATCTTCCAATAATCTTAAGCCAAAATATTTGAAAACTTGTATCCCCTAAAAAAATCCATTCATTGCCAACAAGAGTGAGAGTCACCAAGCATTTTAAAGAAAAAGAGGAAAGTATGCAGGATCATGAAAAATGATAGATGTGCAACAAAGGAGACAAAGAAACAAACAAAACTGAAAGATGGAGAATTCATGTATACCAAAGTCAAGAAACCCAATACGACCATCACGCAGCAACCACAAGTTGCCTGCATGGACATCAGCGTGAAAGGTTTCACAGGCAAGCAGACTCCCAAACCTAAAGAGTCATGCACAACAAAACTTCAGGATATAAATTTGATACCAAAAATAACTGACATGTGCCAGCAGATGAATTACACTTGTGACAAAGTCGTACCACACATTTAAGGCAGTAATAAGACTGGCTTCTGGACTTGGAACAAGGGCACTGATGGAATCCAAATCTGTAAGAGGGACTCCATAAAGCCTCTCCATTGTTAAAACTCGTCTGGTACTGTATTGCAGGTATACTTTTGGAGCAGTAGCCTGTCTTGTAAGACCCATAGCCTCTAAATATCGTCTAAAAGACTCAATATTTGCAGCCTCTTTCTTAAAGTCAACCTCATCAAGCATTGATTCCCTTATATCTTTGACAATAGCAACCTAAAACAGAAACATATGTTCAAGCATAACGAAATGCCACTGTCCTCCTTTCACACTAAACAGGAAAAGTTAAACAAAGAATGGAGAGAGAAAATTTCCACTCACACACAGTTAATGAGTTTATGCTGGCATATAATCTGTTTTCGACAGAGTATATGACCTCAGAAGTAAATTATTAGCATACTGAAAGGCCTATAAAAACAAAACCTTCACATACATATCCCTTACATTATAATTAAGCTCCTGAAAAAAGTCAAACAATCATCTGGAAAAAATCAAGTTGCCAAAGGAGAAAAAGTGTTGGCACAAGACATGATTATATTTTGGTTTGTAATTATACATTTAGGGTGTATTCGTAAGTCAAAGAGGTGATTTTTGACTATGCCAAATTTGCATTTAAATACTTGACTATTAAGAACTATCCAATGACTTTCTACTACAAAAGTAAGTAGTAGCTAAGTATATTGCAAGACGTATGTTTTAGAAGTTTCAAGGAAATATGTTTTGCCCCATTCAGTGGAATTTTGCAATGATGAAAAGATCATACCAGAGATGCACGGTTCAGTTCAGGACTCAAAAACTCCAAGATGCGCGCTACAATATAAACAAAATTTAGGTCTGCCACTAATGTGTCTTCAATTCCAGGTTTCAACACCTTTATCACTACATCTTCCTGTGTGCCTCTTATCCTTGCACCATGGACCTGAGAGTTAAAGTACACAGTTAAAAGGGTGAGTGACAGTCAATGATCAAGCTCTTAAGACTTTACTATTAAATATTATCAAGATGAAGCATGGAAAGGGAAGTCCGAGTAGACCTGTGCTATAGAAGCAGAGGCAAGTGGGGTAGGATCAACATACTCAAAGATCGCATCGATTGGTTGGCCTAATTCCTCACGCAAGATTGCTTGAATATCTGCAAAAGGAACTGCAGGTACTCTGTCAAAACAGTACTGGAATTCCTGTACGTATTGCGGTGGGAATAATGTTGGTGCAGAAGCAATGAACTACAAAATGCAAGAAAAACAGTACATGAGTGATTGTATAATGTGGTGGATGTATGCATAACTGATTGTATAATTTTAAAGGTACAGATAAATGAGAGAACCCATAAAGAAAAAGCAAATAATAATGGAACCACAAGTAAATGTATACAAATTCAAGCATTACAACAAAATCATCCTAAAATGAAAAAGGCACAAAAAGCAAACTTCAAAATTTCAAAACATAAAAAGAACTGGGTGAGCATTACTATTTACTTACTTGACCAAGTTTGATGTAGGTTGCACCCATTCGTTCAAATAATCTTCTCAAATACAGGGGAGACAACAATCCAAGCTGCATCTCAGTTGGTAATGTGGTGGATGAGTTTGCTGTCTAGACAAAATTACCCAGAATTACTTTTCAATGAAATTCCTTGTTCATTTACTATGCAAAATCCTGGGGAAAAAATAAAGAGAAGAAGAGGGAAGAACGGGAAGGTAAGAGAGAAGAAAGAAAGACATCAAACCAGTTACCAGAAAATCTAAAGATGTAACCAATTATAACAAAGATATAGAACTGCCTGTACCTTTGACAAATCTGCCAGCCACTCGCTTCCTACTCCAAGAACTGCTTGAATGCCTTGAGCTAGCCTTAGGGCTCCACGTGGACCAGTGCTTAAGGATGTCTGGACAATATCCTCTACCAGTTTGGGCAACTTTTCCATGCGATCTGTGGAAGTTCATGCTTAATAGCACTATGCAACCAAATAAAGAAAGACTAATACAAGAATACATTTTTAAATAGTTGCGCACACACATTTACATGCTTTCCCTCCCTCTCCCCATCCCCCTTCACCACAGTGTGGGGAGACAAAATTCTGACAGGAAAACGAACGGCAGAAGAGAAAAGGTCTATTGATGGGGGTTCTAAGGTAAAAGAGAACTGTATAATAGTAGTGCCATTTCAGCAATAAGCATCGATCCAAATACTAAAAAATCTTAAACAGGATTCATTTCCTCTTCTAATTCCTTTGTCTAATGAACTCTGGAGTCAAATTAAGATACAATTCATATAGGATTCTCTTAATTGGTGTGTTTTAAAGGAAAGAAAGAATAAGAAGGAAAAAAAAACTCAGAATAGAAACTAAACAGAAATAAGATAAAAATAAGGCGTGTTTCTGTATCTTAATTTTCTTTCTTCCTTTCTTTTTTCTGATTTGAATTTGTGATTCATATCTCGTGCGGAAGGCCAACATTTCACCAGGTAAAATCAACTTTGATACAAAGTACTAACATCCAACAAAAAATCAAGCTCCTCCCAGAGCACACTTCCGTCGCAAGTCTCAACCCGGAGCCTGAATAGGATTGAGCAGGAATTTCTCAGACACTCGAAATGCACTAAAAATTTTCACTCAAACTAATTATGCATCCAGAATCAAAATGGGCAAATTCCCAGATAAAATTATTTTCTTGAATTCCACTGGCAATCTGATTCTACAACTAAATTAACAGAATTAAACTTAAATATAGGAATCAAATTTTTACATAGAGAAAACAATAAAGTGGGGATGCAGACATGGAGCCAATATACGATAACAGTTTGGGCAACCTTGAACACGAGAAGTGAAAATATCTCGGGACTGAGAGTATCGAGCATAAAAGGAGGATCTTTTAGACAGAAATTGAAGCTTTCTCGCTGCTGTTGATCTGCTTCTGCTTGACACCCTTACGGTTACTGGCGCTAACTGTAATCAAGATTTAAAATTCTTATTAGCATATGAAATTGGACAACATAACGTCCACCAGTAAAGAGAAAGAAAGCATAAATAAAACTTGGACTAATAAGAAGAAACCTGCCGCGACTGGTGATGAAAGATAGACAAGCAGCCATCATTAACCATCCCTCTCATCAATGAAACACCCGCCATTTTTATTTTCCCACTTCTCCTTTCTCAGTTCACAACTTGAGCTTTGAACCCAAATTCACTCCACCACCCCCACCATCCACTCCACCACTAATATTTCCAAGTTCAATCGTCTTGTGCACCTCAACCCTCTCTTACGCCTTTAGGAGTTTTTCTTTCTTTCTTATTTCTTAATAGATTGGCTCCAGATATTCCTTTTTCTAAGGAGACTGACTGACTTTGTCCCTGTCCGGCCCAATTAGCGTGCGCATTTTCATTACACATGTTAACTTGACAAACAGGAATGCAGCCCATTAGAATAGCCAGAGCATACTTTTCATCTTCTTACGGAGGCGTGACTTTCAGACACCGTTAAAATACTTATTTGGGGGGTAAAATATCACCAATCTCTACAATCAATTTGTTGAATCACTTATTGGCTTTGGCCTTAATTTAGAGAAATGAAGTTGGATGCAGTTTGATAACCTCATTCAATACTTAAATTTAATGAATTCAGATTTCAACATGTTCAGATCCATTTGATAACAAAAAATTGAACATTTCTGGCACTGAATTTTTTAGGCAAAATTTGCACTCAAAATTAAGTGATAAACTATTTACTTATTACTGAATATGATATACAATCAAATATATTAGATTCAATACTTAACAATTCAATAACTTAATAAATTCATAGTTCGGATTTCAATTTTCAATTTTCAATTTTATCAAACGCTCCTTGGACTGCATTCTAGATTTGTGAACCACACGTGCCTTCTTCGGGCCAACCAATGTAAGGATTTGTTTAAGATTTTTTGATACTCGGGTGACTAAATCGGCTGAACTTATAGAGCATTATATTTTGTCACGAGGAGCTTGCTATTTTTAAAAAGCTGGCTAATTTTATTGTAGCAGTTCAATGGTACAAGAAGAAGAAAATAGCTTATTTTCAAGAAAATTGGAATGAAAAGACCGCTTCAGATTTCTTTGTATTTTACCTCATTTTTCCTCCGCTTACATGTACACCATTCATTTTTTTGACTCTCACGCACAGACGTACAAGAAACAGCAGATGACGTACAAGAAACAGCAGATGACTAGCTAGAATCCCACAGTAGCCTTTCATGAACTGCAAATAATCCTCACTTGATAGAGGGCGCAACACCTCAAAGATTATCCTACCATGATGGTACACCACAAAATGAGTCCAATTTTAACCATAATGTATGATGATGTACTGCCGTCTTAAAATCTCAAATGTGGGAAAGTAAGCCCTAAAACATATAGCAGACATTGCAAAATTTCGCATTGCTCTGAACTTGGTGAAGCTTCAACCATGAAGCAGCATCACAGGACAGAAGTACGTCTTTCCTCTATTCTTACAAGAAGTTTTCCGGTCATCTCTTGAGATCCATGCATAATAAATAGGAAAAAGTATGCATCAGGCCTCGGAATCAGAATCTGAAGCTGACTCTGTATCTGAATGTGATTGGAAAGGTCTCAATCTGTTTGTATTGGCTTCTAAAGGTGGAAGTCTATCATCATCACTTGAATTGTCATTCTCCTCCATATTTGAAGTGTGCGACTGCAAATCCTGCTTCGAATTTCCTGAAGTTGCTGCTTTAAATACTTCTGGCCTGCACAGTTACAAGCAATAATCACCAAGCATAATAATTACATAAGCACCAAGATCCTTCTTATTGAGCGTGCATGTGAGCAGGCGCGTGAATGTTGTACCCAGAAAGTCAGTTTAGCCCTCGGGTTCCGAGCAGGAGGGGTGGCCTTAAAGATGTAATCAAACAAATAACAGCAGCCCTTCCAGGATTACATACTAAGAAAGTTGGAGCTAGAACACCATGGTGCATCTATTTACACTACTAAGCTCCTAATCAGGAGCACTTTTATCCAGCCATAGAAACTACAACTAATTTGATAATACTCAGAATAAACTGGCTTAAACCCCCCACCCCCCCAACACAAAAAAAAAGGAACGTGAAACAATCACATCAAAGATATTGATCTCTAACTTTGTCACCTTTGCCACACCTCCTGGAAGTTTGGTATAAATGTCCACGAGGCAGATATTCATAGGAACAGAAGTCCCTTGCTATTAAGTAATATCTCCAGCCAGTATTGAAAAAACAAATCATTAGGTTCTCAGACTATTTTAGAAATTTATCTTGCAAAGGCATGGCGCAAAACATTAAAAAACAAGAGAAAACAAAACAAACATAAACTCAAACTACGCACCATTCAGGAGATTTTTGGAGCACTCGTACTCGTTCATAAAAGAGCACTTGTATAACAACGCAACCTACTTTCCGACCAAATTCAGCTGCTTCCTCCCTTCCAGTCTCGTCAACCACCACAAAGTTCCCTATATATCAATTTTTCACGCAAAAGAAAATAAGAACTTGATCAAAGTCTCAACTTTAATCATGCTAGAAATCCCCACTTCAAAGGAAAATTTAAAAGAACAAACCTCGTTTTATCCACATGCTCTTTTGAAATTTTGCTGGAAATATAGCTAACAATCTTTCCCTTTTTGCATCCATTACCTTTTGATACATTCAAAACTGAATTAACAACCACTAAATATCTACTAATCTGCAAAAATCACTAACATATAGTTACATCACTCATAGAAGCTTCATTGTCAAGCCTTACTACATGAAAAACTTCGGCTATGCCCATCTGTAGATGTATGAATGTAAAGGACATATTACCTCAATAAGATTGGAGCCCCGCAGGTCCACAACTTGCATGATGCTTTGCCCTTGTTGAAGCGTTAAGGTCTCTTCCTCAACAGCCCTCTTCAAATTTTTCCGTCCACCTCCCATGGCCTTTCTTCACTCTATTACTTTCTCAAGCTGAAACCAACAGGACCAAAACCACATGCAAGCAGAAGCAATTCCTTAAATGCCAGTCTTTCAGCAAGCCTTCATCAATTCCACAGTTCTGGAGAGGCAAGACTCGTATTAAAACAGGAAAGAAATATCTCCATAAAGCTCTACTAGTCATGCACATTTGATAGGGCAGGGGCAGGAGGCGCCCCTTTTGGAGAGTGACACGTGAAGGCAGAATTTTTTAGCACACCTCCGAGAATAAGTTACCTATAATTTAAAAATCACACCGCGCATCGTGCGGTGTTCTCCTCCTAGTATTACCAAAAAACCGCAAGAGCCAAAACAACTCATTCTTCAGCCGTCGATCCCCCCTCCGATCCCTTAGGCTGAGACCCCATTGGCGGCGGCTCGAAGAAGAGTAGATTGCTTGCTACTATCTCTGCCCTCCAATCTCTCGATATATCTCTATCTCTCTTGTTACCGGAAAAAAATCAAGAAATATTGAAAGGAAATAAATCTAAGAGGCAATAAAGAACCTGAAGTCTGGAGTTAGATTCTTCAAACGTCCTTGTTTTTGGATTCAATTCTTTCAACCGTACTCTTTGTTCGGGAGAGCGATGAGGGATTGGCGAGAGAAGCAGACGGCGGCCCTCTGAAATTTGGAGAAGAAGATGTTGCGATAGGGTTTCTGGTCACTGCTACATGGGCCTAGTAATTGGATAGGTAGATAAGGAGGTGAAATCTCATTTCTGTCCTCAATTCAATTCACCAATTCAATCAATTGCAGGAGGACCATCAATTGACCAATGAGAATGCGCCACATCAGCAATTGAAACTCAATTGAAACATCTTGCGTTCGCGCATAGACTAGACTAGATATGTTAATAAAACTATAGAGTAGTATTTATTTACTGTTTATTTCTTTATTTTTGAGCAAGGGAAATGCTTATAACTTTTTTTTTTTTGGGAAGTGGGAGATTAGGGGAATGCTTTTAACTTGTTTTTTTTTTTTAAAGTGAAAAGTCCGTTGAATAAATCAAACTTCCTCCTTTTGGATTCACCTTTTTTCAAAAACAAAATTTTCAAATACAATACTACAGTAATATATAATAACTCCAAAAGTATTTCATTCATATAATATATCAAATATTTTAAAAAGTTTTCATAGTAAAAATTTTTTATATACATTATTATAGTAAAATTTTTCAAAAGCACCCCTAAAAATAACTATTCCAAACGGTTGGAATCAACTATTTTTTGGATTATTTTTTAAATATTTTACTGTAACAGTGTATATGAAAAATTTTTTACTTTAGATATTTTTTGGTGGTATTTTTAAAATATATTTTTAAGTTTTTAAAAGTTTAAAATTTTGTGTGATATTTTTTTAAAATTACCAATACCATCCCCTCTTTCTCTTTCTTCCTCCTCATCCCTTGCTCTTCCATCATCCTCCTCCCATTCTTCATTTTTCTTCCTTTATTTCTCCCTTTTCGCACCACTGGTCACCCCTTCCCTTCCCCCCTCCTCGGATCTGGTCGAGATCGATCGAGACCTCTGGTCACGACAATGTGACTAGATTATAGCCTATGGTCGAGGCCAGATCTAGGAAGGAAGAGGAGAGGTGAGATGTGGCAGGAAAAAGGAGAATGGGAAGAGGAAGAGGGAGGGAAAGAAAAGAGGAGAAAGGGGAAAATGGTAGAGGTAGTGAGTAGGAATAGTGGTGGTGGGTAGTAGTGATAGATAGAAGAAAAAAAAGTGTAAAGTTTATTTTTATTTTTTTATATATTTGAAGTTATTTTTGATATATTGTATGGATATGTTGTGTTTGAAATTATTTTTTATTTGCGAATATACTGTAATTTTATATATAAAAATTTTGTTTTTCAAAATATGAGAAATCAAAACGAAAGGTTGCCTTTTATTGTTATATTGTTATTGCTCCGTTTCAATTTTTTTTTTCATTTGTTACTACTTGAATCAAAATCATGAGGTGGACTTATTTATAAGGATAATTATAATTGATCTCCTAACGTATACCTTAATTATCTATTTATTCCTTAACTTTTATTTGTATTAGTTAACTCTTTGCATGATCAAACTATCCCTCTATTATGTTTATTTTTTCTTTTTTTCCAAAATATTTTTCTGCTTTCAATTCCTTGTTTTAAAAAAAAAAATTTCCTTTGTCCATCTGTTTTCTTTTTCAAAATGTTTTTCTCAATGAATTGAATTTTTATTCTATTATTTTTAAATTATAGAGTTTCTAAACTAACGTGTGTCCCTTTTATTTATTACTATAATCCATGCTACACAAAAAGTTTGGATACGATTATCTGATTTACACTATATATATATATATATATATTCTTTCATTATAAATTAGTTTCATGTGTTTTTTAATCTAAAAAAATTTATTCTATATCCTTATAATTAGATAATTGAATATAAAGTACTCATTTTTTACAATCACGTTCATATGTTATCTGGAGACATTTATGTTCCTTTTCTCTCTAATACTTTTTGTGTATTAGATTAATTTCTTTACCACTTTTTATAAGTATTCAAAAATTTAGTATATTTTCTATAAATCTACTTCTCTGTTGTGATACTTTATCACCATGAATTAGAGTGGTCAAAGTTAGCTCATTGGTTAAAATTGATTAGGAAAAGAATGAAGGGAAAAAAAAAGAAAAGAAAATTAAGAACTTAACATCTCGCAGACTCCAGCGACCAATGAGAAAGAAAAAAGGGAAGAAAAGTGAGAATCATTAGTGTAATGTAAGGAGATTAATGGTTCGGTAACCCTTGCTTATATTCGTATTTATTTATTTATAGTTACCTCAACTTCTTCCAACAGGCAGAGTGAGATTCTTCGGAACCTCACCTTCCCTCACCACTGACCATTCCTTTCCCACCAAAAAATTTTTGTCAGCAACATAACACTATGACGCTTGCCCTGCTCAGTCTACAGGCTTCGGATTTCCAGTTTTGAGCAGAAAAATCTTTAGGTCTTCAGTTGGAACTTTTCTTCCTACAAGAAGGCTCACGCACTTGAATGCTATCTGGTTGTTTAGTCTGCCGAACTTGTGGGTTTTTGTTGGAACAACAATAAGAATAATGGGTCGAAGGAAGCAATTTCGGCCACGTCGCGCGGTAGGGTTGCAGCAGGGACAAACCTCCCAAGCAGCAGAATTGGATGACGTCACTGAAACTACTGGTACTAAACCTGAGGAGCAGGACGAATTGATCGATATCGGTGTTGATAAGCCATATTTTGTTCAAGTGGATACTAGGGCTAGTTGGGATACGGCCAGCCAGCATTTTGATATTTCAGAAATTGTTTTATCAAATTTGGAATTAAATCGAGAATTCTACGGGTATGCTTTGAACGAGGAAGAATTTTATGGAGATTCTTCGAGGTTTTCGTTGATATTTAGTTTGAGCAATGTAGATGGGTATCTTAATCGAATGAAATTGGGGCATTGGCCTGAATTATCTGCCTCTAGCATTTATTTACAATTTGTGGTGAGACGTGTGACCGAGGGAATGGAGAGCAATGCTGTGATGGTGTCCGGGAATTTTGACGGCCCAGATGAGGCTGTTTCGGGTCTTGTTCATTTAGTTAGCTTGAATTTCTTGACTTTGAGGCCTATTTTGAAGTTCACATTATCGGAAGATTTGCAGTCTGTGAGGATGAGGGTTGAGATTCTGAGAAGGGCATTCGATGCTTGTGATTCACTTCTTGATACTACGAGGCAACTTTGGAAGAAGAGTATGATGAATGTCATGGCTTGGCTGCGTCCTGAAGTCTTGACTTCTGAGGCTAGATATGGATTTAGTCCTGCACCAATTGGGAAGAGCATTGATTCAAATGCAGATGCAGGAGATAACTCCGCTTCTTCAAGAAAGAATCGAACACGTTTTGATGTTGCCCGTTTTTATGAAGCTATTAAGCCATCAAAGTGAGTAACGATTGTAAATTTTTGAACTTTACAAGTATATATAACTACTACATTTTTTCTGTGTGTCTGAAAGTTATGGAACTTTATGTGTAATTAACGCCTGATTTGCACAAATGGTTTGCTATAGGGAGGAACCTATGCTGGATGTTCAATTGCCCAACTTGCTTCCCGAACTTAGACCGTACCAATGTCGTGCAGCTCACTGGATGATTCAGCGTGAGAAAGGAGTTTCTGAATGTTCTGGGAGTGGAAAAGATCAGTTTGTTAACCCCCTTTGTATGCCTTTGAATCTAATCGAAGCATCTGCAACATTGTACTACAATCCGTTTTGGTATACTTCTTTCTCTACCTCATCACATGCAAATACACGTGTATTTATTCAAGGAATTATCAACTGTTTGTGGTTGAGTACAACATTACGCATATGACAGAGAATGATAGGCGTCAAGAATCAATTCAAAAATTCTTCAGGAATTAGACCAAAAAGTAGACTGCACTTGAAAATCTGCAGACGTCATGATATCTATAGAAAACTCTTATATATCTCTGTCTTGCTGTGTTTTGGCTCTTCAGTCATGAAATTCAATTATTGTGATGTTTTGTTAATTGGTTTTGTTTCAGTGGAAACATCTCCTTGCGTCCAGAGTATCTGTCTTCTTATGTTTCTGGCGGTATTCTCGCTGGTATGTCACTTTCTTTGTCATTTGTACAAACAAACGTCTTTTTTTTTTCCTTTCCCTTTTGGTTGGCATCATTATTTTCCATTTTGGTTGGCATTATTATTTTTGTAAAGCATGTAATGGATTCATAATATAGAACAGAGACTTTTTCGCTAAATTCTCCTGCTTTTTGTTGTTCTAGTTGTGACAACATAACTTTTATTTTGAATATAAAGATGAGATAGACTAATGTGGTTTTGGCTGCTTGTACTACATTTAATCACCAAATTGCAGATGAGATGGGCCTGGGGAAAACTGTTGAGCTGCTTTCTTGTGTCTTTGCTCACCGCATGTTGTCATCTGAGGTTTTGGGTTTGCCACATAGTGAAATGCAAGATGATGGACAGAAAAGAATCAATCTCAGACGACTGAAAAGGGAGCGGGTTGAATGCATATGTGGTGCTTTGACTGAAAGCATCAAGTACAAAGGATTGTGGGTGCAGTGTGATGTGTGTGATGCTTGGCAACATGCTAATTGTGTAGGTTTTTCTGCTAAAAGGAAAATGCGAGTATCCACAAATACTTCAGAAGAACAAGAATTTAGCAAACATTCAACTGGAAACTGCCAAAAGTTTAGTAGAAGGAAAAACAACACCAAGATAGTTGTCATGGAAGGAGTTCATATTTGCAGTCTTTGTTCAGAATTGATCCAAGCTACTGAATCTCCAGTATCCACAGGGGCAACTCTTATAGTATGTCCTACACCCATATTGTCCCAGTGGCATGCTGAAATAATTCGGTATTTTTCATATCTTATGTTTTCTTGTCCTATGGTTTTGCTTAAGTAAACAACATTTTCTTCACGGATTTTCTTATTGTTTTTGTGGGGTGGGTATTTGGGGACTGAGGGGAAGTGTCTGGAGGTTGGAGGCTGGATAAGGGTGCTTTTTGCTTGTATAAGGGTGCTTTTTGCTTGTTAGAGGCATTCATCTGGGAAAGCCCCTGAAGGGGCAAGACTTATGCAGCAGCACATTGTCAGTAGGAGGGCTTCTGTTCATTCAGTTGCCTTCTAG